ACCAACAATTAAATGTATAAGTAAAAAAGAAAAACTATAGCTGTGAGTTTACAATCCAGTAGTACTGAATAGACAAGCAACAAAGCTATGTCAATATCACATGCTGCTTTGATTACGAACTGCCTTCATCCCCAATTAGAAAAACCTTTCAAATCTCTCCTTAGATCACAGATAAGGAAAGAATACTATGTATAGATAACTAAACTATAACAATCCAGAATCTAAATTTTACTAATATTGATATAATCTCTTTCTTCGTAAAACTGCAAATTCTTACAATGAAATATTTAAAAGGGAAAACAGCCATCACCCTTATTTTAAGGTTTTTCATTATAATTTCCTGGACAGTCAAAGCATTCTCTACTGAACTGTAAGTATCATTAACCTTATGCATATTCCTTTAAAAGGGATATACTATTTGTTTATTTTTGCTCAATTTTCTTATGTTTTCTTTTTTATTCAAGTGCTAAGCCACTGCTTTTACTAACATCAAACAACTTCTTGCTGTCCTTAATAAACAGGTGCTGCACTGACTGACTGAAGTTATTCAGAAGGTAGGACAATGATATGCTGCAGAAAATGCAAGCAAGCGTGAGGGAAAGCTGCAAAGCCACCTCTTCAGCTTTAATCATGCTGTGGCCACTTTATGGAACCGATTTATAACTGTTACAAAACTAAAACACATTAACTCATCTGCTCCTCCCAACACACCTAAATGGGGTGTCATTTTACTCTCCATTTTACAGCCAAGGAAACTGAGAGACAGAGCTATTTGATAACTTATCTAAGGTAACACAGTGAGTAAGCCCCAGAGCAGGGATATAAACTCAGACAGCCCAGTGCTTTTCTTTCTATTCTTTCTTTTTTTTCTTGATTTTGTACAGAGAAGAAGGGAGAGATATAGAGTTAGAAACATCGATGAGAGTCCTCGATCGGCTGCCTCTTGCACACCCCCTACTAGGGATGTGCCCGCAACCAAGGTACATGCCCTTGACCGGAATTGAACCCGGGACCCTTCAGTCCCCAAGCCGGCGCTCTATCCATTGAGCCAAACCGGTCCCGGCAGCCCAGTGCCTTTCAAACCTCAATGTATATACAATTCACCTGGGAATCGTGCTTAAATTCAGATTAGGATTCAGTGCTTCTGCAGTGGAGGAAGGCAAGATTCTAACAATCTCACCTAAGATGCAGATGCTGCTTGTCTGAAGATCACTCTTTGAGCAGCAAAATATTAGTCTATGTTAAAAAATTATGGTAAATGGCAATAATCCTCAAACAGAGGTAGTGTTCATCCACAGACAGAGGCATATGACTAAATCAAGAATTTCTAACTTCTGGTTTAGAACTTAATTGCTCCTTTTATTCATTATTTTTTAAAAGAAGGAAGTTATTTAGCAAAGTGTGCAAGTATTATAGTATCTGCTTTCAGGTTTTGCTCTATGAACATATTAATACTCTAACTTGATACTGTAACACCTTCCAATAAACTGTTTCCATATCTCAAAACTATTTACAAATGTCCCTGAATGTTTACTTTAACGTTAATTCAATCTGAACACATTAAAGAATATTCTAAGAATGTATATTTGTCTCATATATGTGGGAAAATTTAGGATTTGAGTTTAAAAATCCAGCATCTTTCTGTATTTTTGTACAAGTGATAACTGAGAGGATAAGAACACACTTTGGGAAACAGGTGGAACCTAAATGTCTGAATAGCACTTTACTCAACAATTCTAGTCAGTCGCTTTCTCTAAAAACATACGGAAATGCCCAAAATACAATTTCCCTTCATTCTCATCAACTATTTATACCCTTCGTAATCTAGATTACAGTATGTAAAAAGTATAAACCAAAGCCACAAAATATTATGCCTTTGTTGAGGATGTTTTGGCCTTAGGCACTTCAATACCTAAAAATTGAGATGCCATCTAATCACTGGAAATAAACAGTTTAGCAAACTTTTATACTATCAGAAAAAGAAATATTAATACCCTCAAAATATATTCAAACAAGTTTAAAGCCACACATGTAATTCAACAATTAAGTCTACCTTAAGATCACCCTGAGTGTATACAATATAGAGATGGCTCTATAACAACTAAAGAATCTTTTACTAATTCAACATAGCAAATGATTTAAGAGAAATTTTAAACTGAATAATTTGGATTTTTGCCGCGTTTTCTTGTATTTCATTCAATATTTTCCTAAATGTACACGGATATACTTTCTTTTCTTCCCTGAGATACAATTAAATCTGTCACATACTTTGACAAACTTGTAAAATCATATTCAAAACCATAATGGAATTCTGATTACACATGAAAGTCAAAAGAATTGTTTCATTAATTTCAATCAATATGAATTCATATGTGCTAGAATTTATAAATATAGAATCCCGTTTTTAATAACATAAATGAAGAAATTTAAACTATATATTCATTACAAAGATAAAATTCTCACTGATGACCTTGTGAATCACAAAAACACTAGTAATGTTGTGTTTAATATCTGATGTGAGTAAAAATATAATACAAATTTGGACTTAGCTGTCAAAAATCCTAAAATGTCTCCACTAAACACTCAATTCCTGGACGATGACTGAATAATTCCACCCCAAAGAATCTTAAGACATATAATAAAACACACAAAAGTATCTGGATATCTTTGTCAGGCATACGGAAGACTGTCCCCAAACTACCAGTCTCCTACTAAGACACTTACATCCTGTCTGTTTTTGCTTTAATCAGATAGTCACAAAGAAATGCATACAGGGGTGGGTAAAAGTGGGTTTACAGCTGTAATACAAATAAATAATTAAATAATACAATAAACTGCGTTTCACATACTCACAACTGTAAACCTACTTTTGCCAACACATATATGCTAAAGAACTGAAGAACTGAAAGATGTCAATTGCAATGGTTAATGGTACACGTAAGTTATGACAAGGGAAATCAAAGATGACGTATTTCATGTTATTGCTCACAAGCAAGCCCAAAGGTTTGCTACTTCACTAGTCTTATCATTAAATGTGAAGCGTTCAGGAACCGCAATGAAAACAGAAAAATAAAGGGAAAAATAAAAACAAGTTAACTTTCTGTCTCCTAGAGAGATTCTACTTCCTCTAAAATAATCCTCCTTGACCACGTGGAACCATTTCTGCATTGAACTGTACAGCTCTATTCCTTCAGCAACTGCAATGCTACACTACTGCTCTAAAGACATTCAACACGTGCCTAGATTTGTACACTAGTACACTAGTTTGGGTCATATGCAGAAAATAAACAGAAACTTTTAAAAATGTTTGACCTTATGTGCAATTTTATTGAAGAGTTTTGAATGGACAGCGCTTTACATCTTTTAAAATAGGAAATACCAAAATACACTGCAATTTAAGTAATTATTCAGAGAGCAAGAGCAAATTTAACTTGACCCCTCTCCCTAAATGGCTACAGATTTGACTGACATACCATTTAGACGCCTAAAAATATTTTGATTTATCTATCCACTAAAGCAGTGCTGTTAAACAGAAATACAATGCAAAGCCACATATTAAAATTTCTAATAACCACATTAAAATGGTAAAAATAAAAGTGAAATTAATTTTAAATCATATTTTATATAACCCAATATATACAAATTATCATATCAACATGTAATAAAAAATGTTTTTAAATTGGTAAGATCATAATACATACTTTCCTTTGTACTAAGTTTGCAAAATCCGATGTGTATTTCACACTTAGAGCGTATCTTATTTTGGATTAAATTGATCAACAGCCACCAGTAGCTAGTGGCTACATTACTGGACAGCGTAGGTCATAAGTAATACTTTCAGATCTGACATGCCACTAACTGTTTAAATTATTTTGCATTCCTGTTTCCTTTTGGAACTGAAATAGCTGATTACAAATATAAGCAAAACTGTTAACTCACTGGATAAATCTGAATCCGATCACCTTATCCGAGGATCCGGTTAATACACATAGAAGAAAGCAACTGGATTTGCACCCTATTATATCTCAAACATACTTCAGAGATGGTTCTCATCATCGCAAGTGAACACAACTTGTAGCAAAAATATAGGTAAGACAAGAAAACATTCTCATATCAAACCATAACACTGCCTTGTTTCTAGCGGCCACTCTCACTTTTGAGCACATATCTCTATGCAAGTTATCTACAACACTGTTTTCTAAGTTTGATGAATTTCAAAAGCCATAGAGTCACTGTTGAAAAACAAAGCACTAAGTAAGAGGAATTGGAAAAAAAATGTTATCTTAATGCACCTTACACCAACCAAGAATCTTAAATTATTCTACGTGAGTTTCACTGATACAAATTCTTCCCACAAATTCCAATTCATCCACTGCTTCTCATACACATATTTCAAGTACCTAAATTACTGAGAATTCTTCTAAGTAAATAGGACATTTGATTAAAATGTAAATAATCCCAACAATATACTGTCTCAAAAGCAACTAAAACCATTAGCTTTTAGCACTTGAAATTTGTCCTTAAGGCAAGTTAATGAGTAAATCAAACAGAAACAACTTATACTCTTGTTTACTGGATTTACATTTTATAACACATTCGGTGATCTCTAAATTTGGAAGGTCAGTTCAGATTGCACACAAGCAGTAACTTTAAAGCTCAGCAAAAACTGTAGAAGTTTCTGCAATATACTTCTGAATAAACACACTACAGAAATACTACAACTGGGGGGAAAAAAAATCAGCCCCGTTCAACTCAACCTCAGTAAAAAGCACAAAATCAGTACATTCACACAAAGTCCAAAATGTGTATTACATGCTAAAACGTATCTTTCCTCCCAACTGTATTTAATTCACCCTAGAAAATTTTTATTTAATCCACTTGCAAAGCTGGAAAGAAGCAAATGCAGCCTCTTCTGCAGCACACACATCCAAGGACGATACATCAATCTCTCGATATTTTTCCCACAATTTGAAATTAAATCAACAAAATGTGTTTCTTACCTGCAGTTAGGAGGAGGATCAAGGGTTATTTCAGCTAGCTCCTTCTGAATTCTGTTAGTGAAATGAGAACAGACAAAAAGGATTTGAGATAGTCTACAGAACAACCGGGGAATTACACTGCCCTCTACCACCAAGCAGTTAAATGCAAGGCTGGCTCTGCCTTCAGTAATGCTAACATGGCTGCTTCCTCTTTGTTCTCAGAGGCATAACCCAAATCCCTCAACAGAAACTTTGCAGCTTTTCTTCTCACTTGCTACTGTAAATAAGTAAGACATTGACACCTGTTTTGAGAAGTAGTCCTCCACTAGCACTCAGCAAAGGACCTAAAACCTGTTTTAAAACACTTTTTACCAAAGAAATTCTCTCTTCAAGCTTATATGCAAATGAGACAAGAAGGGAGGAGGGAAAGCACTGGAATATTTGACAATGACTTCAAGTCACTTTTACCAAGGTAAAAACGAATAAGCTACTGCTCTCACACAGTAATAGTTCTGACAGTATTTTATCTGTAAAAAAAAAAAAGAAGTTTAAAATTTACAATTGTCTTTACCAGTGAAAAACTTCCAAAGGACTTTGGCATCATTTTACCTTATCTGTTTTCCCTGATCTTAAGTACAGCACTTAAATTTAATAAATTTGGGGGAAAGGAGACAAGAAGATATACTATAGTGCTTTGAGAAAAAGGGGGGGGGGGTGTCAATTATTGATTTTACTCCAATTTAAAATGCTCTCAAAGCTTAAGATGTTGAAAATGTTCCTCAAGAAGATTACAATAAATTGACAATCATTGTAAATTATTCCAAAGACTGCTGTTATTTAATAAAATAGTCTCAAGTAATTAACAGTTGTTGATACAAGAGATGAAAATGCACAGGAAAATAAGAGTACTTCTGAATCATTACAAGACGCCAATATTTGATCATTTTTATATTTTCGTGATCAATAAAAATCAACAAAATGTCAACACTGACCAATACTGTAGGTACATTTGATGTATAATTACTACAATTCAGGGATATTCCACTACTGCCACTGATGGCGTCCCACTTGACAGAACATTACTTTCACCATCACAGGTAATAAAAATTAACAGGAGACAAATGATCTTTCACTTATACCCAACAAAATATGTTTGTCCTGCTGCTGAGCATTAAGGTGTCAAGCATATCCGTAGGTTTTACAGGGAAAAGACACAAGGACAGTCTAAGTTTTCAATCACCAAGTGCCATCTAAAACTGTAAGTAGCACTTACCAGTTTTATTTGCCCTCACAGGAATTCAGAGGCATAACCATCATTTAACTACAAAAAAGTAATACCTGGAATGCATGACTTAATGTCACATGTGAAAAACAGAAAGCCAGTGTGAAGCAGTTTTTAAATCTGCTTTCCAATATAGCGGAGACCTTGAATTTGCCAATTTCTAGCCAACAGGATGGTTTCTGATCATTGAGTTCCATGCAGAGGCACTGCTGATCTATATAGAAGTGTCCATTTCGATGAAGAAGAGTGTGACTCATAGAAAGGAACATCCCCAATGTACCAGGGCCAATCGGGGTTCACCAAATTTTCCTTGCCAACTCCTTCAACAATCTGTCAGGGTGTCAGTCCAATCTCTACTCCAGGACGCTGTCCCAGAGGTTCCCAGAGTACAGGATAAGTTTGCTTAAAAAGTGTAATTCCAGGGAGGTGGCTTATGGGCCACCCAAAAAAGGACAACTCCTTCTAGCCCAAATGACACAGAAGGAAATATGTTTGAACTGCTTGCTCCTGATGTAAAACCACCAGCACAGCGCCGGGCCATGGGGAAGGGACACCCTGACAATGTGCTAACCCCCTCGCCTGACCCGTTACCTTTTAGCGCTAGTGGACAGCTTCGCAGTGGTTTTGCTGGACAGTTTGGTGTTCTTCTTCTGCTGGGTGGCAGAAGGTTTCCTCTCTTCTTGTTCCTCGGGCTCGGGGACGGCTGGGTCCCGCTGGTCTGCGTCTGAACTTCCACTGCTGGTGCTGGGGCTCTCATCGTCCGACCTCTGCCTATCACTGGACATCTTGGTGCAGTTAGTCCTTGGAAAACTTTTATAAAAAGGAAGAAAAAAAAAGGGGGGTGGGGAGAGGAAATGTGAAGTCTACGAAATAAGCCCATCGCCTTTTCTTCCCCTTAAATCGCCTTTTATAACGAAAACGCTTGCAAAGCGTCCCCACCAGCACAGCATCGCCCTGCAGGGCTGTGCAGGGCAGGGGATGCGCCTCATGCCTGCAGCAGCAGCAGCAGCAGGTCAGGGCTTTCCCCGAACTCAAGTTAGCAAACCCACTCGCATTTTTCCCCCCCTTCTTCTTTTCCATCCCATCCCACCCCACCTCGGACAAACTATCAATTGTCTACTTTCTCAGAAGGCAGCACGAAACAGATTGGCCAGGGAAACTTGGGCAAGCGAGCATTCATAACATATGACACGCTGTAAATAACAGACCTCGCTGGGGAGGAAGAGGGGGGAAAAATGCTAGAAAGTCACTAATAGCGTCTCAATATTGACACACTTGACACGGGTCGGAGCTACCCGATTCCCTTCCCGGGAGGAAAAACATACCCTGCTCCTCCTCGCCCATATGCTTAGTTAAGGTGGCGATGCCTCCTCAGTGCACGGAAGCTCTTTAAAACCCAACACTTAGGAATTTTAAAAAGAAAAAAATATATATAATCAACTACCGAGCTGCACCCCCGAGCCGTCCCCGCGGCCAATCGCGGAGGCTCAGCCGGCCCAGCCCGAGCGGCCGCGCCGGGCGCAGCCGGAGCCCAGCGGCACCTTCTGCACCGCTCCCCGCGCCCGCCGGGCTCCTCGCTCCATGTCTACATCGCGGACCGACATTTTGTCAAAAAAAAAAAAAAAAAATCACACGGGGGTTGGGGGTGGGGGGTTAAAAAAAACAACACATCGGAGAGGAAAACAAACACAAAAACAAACACACAAAAGCCCCCCCCAAGAAGTGCAACAAATTTCCGCGCCCGCGGAGGCGGCGGCGGCGGCGGCCACGCAGCCCCGCGGCCCTTTGTGGGGAGGGCGGGCGGGCGGGCGGCCCCGGGGGATGCGGGCGCCGCCGGCCCCGCCGCCCGGCTGGGCTCCGCGGACACGGGCGGCGCGGGCGCCCGGCGCGAACAAAGCTGCCGCCCCCGCCCCTCCCCCGCGCCGCGCCCGCCGCCCCCACGCGGCCCCGGCCCCGCCGCCGCCGCCGCCTTACCTCGGCCGCCCGCCCGGGCCGCTCGCGCGCCGCTACGCTGTGGGGGAGGGCGAGAGGAGGGAAAAAGCCTTCCTTGAGGAAATGGAGGCAGCCGGGGGGGGAAGAGGGGGGGGCAGGGGAAAAAAGAAGCCGAGGAGGCTCTGGCCGGGGAGTGTGGAACATCGAAAGTCGGAGGGGGGCTGTGCAGTGCCGGGCTCCGGCCGGAGGGTGGCGCCGCCCCGCGCCTTCGGGGAGAGGAGCGGGGGGGAGGGGGGAGCTCGGCGGGGCGAGGGCGCGAGCTCCCGGCGAGGCGGAGAGGACGCGGGGGACCCCCGCGCGCTGTGGCCGCCGCCGCCGCCCGGCCCGGCTCCTCCGGCTCCGGCTCCGGCTCCGGCTGCTCCGGCCGCGCCGTCAGCAAGTTCCGCGGCGGCGCGCGGGGGCGGGGCGGGCGCGGCGCGCGTGCTCGCGGGGCGGAGGGGCGCGCGCCGCCGGCGCTCGGCGGGCGCGAGCTGGCCCCGCGCGCTCCCTCCGCGCGCCTCCCTGCGCTCCAGGGGGAGGGGGGGGGGTGCACGCGGCCGCCCGCGCGCGGCCGGGACAAAGAGCGCGGCGGGGACCCGGCGCGGTGGCCCCGGCCGCCCTGGGCCGCGGAGCCGGTGCCCGGGAGGGCGGGGGCGCGGGCGCCGTCTCCCGGGGTGGCTTCCGGCCTGAGCCCGCCTCCAGGGCGAGGCTGCCCATTGGACTACCCGCCCTGGGCCCCGGGTGCCTTTAGGGCCGGGAGGGCGGACAGAAATCATCCCCAGGGTTATTATTAGCCACATCCCCAGCTGGGACCCTCGGACCCCCTACTCCTGGGCTAGGGTCCCGGGCGCATGGTGGGAAGGTTGCAACCCCCCCCCCCCTGGAAGGCTGGAGGCTAAGGTGTCCTTGAGGAGGCCTGCAGGTGGAGGAGAGCTGCCTCCTGCCCCTCCTGGGAGCTAAAGGGGCGAGAGGAGGTCTTGGGCATGGAGGGAGGAAAAGGGAATTCTAGATTATGGGACCTGTCTCTGCTTTCTCTTTGGCCCTCACAGTCTGTAAAAAGGGGACAGTCGTTTGGATGTTTTGCAAACTTAAAATTCCAAGGTTTTTTTTTTGTTTGTTTTTTTAAATGGCCTGTTCAAGATTGATTGAAGTGGAAGAGAGGGGTTAGGGGCTCCAACCCTGACAGTTTGCTGCTGCGGCACTATTCTGACATGCATGCTAGGTGCCAGTTCTGGAAAGGGAAGCCCGGCTGGTACGTGTCAGAATGTCCACCCAGGTTGACTCTGCCGTTTCTTTGCCCCAGGCACAGACGAGTCAGAAGTACAGAAACTTCCTGTTTGCAGCCCAGACTTCCCCAACTACTGAGAACTTGCTCCAGTGATGGAGCCCCAAAGGAATTTGTGGATTCCTCTCCCACAAGTGTCCAGGGGCAGAGGTGCTGGGAGAATGTGGAGTTCACAGAGGGAGTGAGAATGGCAGTCATAACAGATGAGCTAGAGTTAAAGAAAGGAAAAAAAAAGAAAAAAGGAAGTAAGCCAACATACTGAATTTTCCTACAGACAAAATGTTTGGTAGAGGGTTGCTTACAATTCTGAAGAGTTACATTTCTGTAATTTTCCAAAGATCCCGGCATTCAGTGAACTCGGTGGAGGGCTATGCTGCTAGGTGCTAGACACACAAAATGCACTCGCTCCATCTCTGTGACTAAAGCCAGGTCTCCTCCATTCTGTGCCTGGAGTTCCCAGTCCAGAAAGGGAGCAATTGCTTAAGGTTGATAAGGAGAAAGGCTCCTCCAGTCAGAATGTACAGCATAGCTCAAGAAATGGTGAAGAGAGAGAATGGTGTGCCTGTCAACTAGCAGTTGATTTGTCTGAATCAAAGGGAGCTTGTGGAAGGAACTTGTTAGTGAAAATAGAGACAGAAACATCCCCCCCCAACTCCACCTTTTACACTGTGACCCTACAGTAACAGCCAGCCAATCTTGAGTGTGGACTTTGAAATGGGGAACCATGTAAGAAAAGCGCTATGTAAAAGTGGATTCTTTTAGGAAAAGCTTTTGTAAAACTGGTTTCTTTTTCATCACAGAAAGAGCCTGAAGGACCCAAGGCCAGTAGCTTGATAGGATTTGGGTGGGGCCAGGAGATTAGGAAATAGAGATTTAGCTGTGTTTTGATAGCATCTTCTATAGAAGAAGCTGTATTGAGCTGAAAAGCTATGAAACTGGATTCTAATCTCATCCTATCAAGTTTATGTGACCTCGTGGAAGTTAACTTGTTCCGACTTGACTTTTCACATGTGTAAAAAGATTGTAGCAAAGGTATCTAAATCCTCTCTTGCTCAAAAGTTCCATGATTCTTCAATGAGCTTGAAATCGAAGGCTTCTACTTAACATTCACTCAACAGAGTCGTCAGAGTACTTCAGGAACTACCGAATGCTGGGAAAATTAAAGTGAGAAATGGGTGCAGCTCTCTCCCAGCTCTGGGAGTGGGACAGCTAGAAAGGTAGGCTATAGAATGAGAAGTGCTCTATGAAAGGAGTGAACAGAATTTGTGGAGCATTAATTATTAAATAATAATTAGCAATGGAATTATTAATTCAGCTCAAGATCATGGGGTGTGGGTCAAGAAAACTCACAATGAACTGGGCCAGAGGGATTACTAGGTGATAATATAGGTAATGCTCTTGGCAAAGTACTTGGGACATAATAGTTGTTCAGCAGTACTTACCATATACCCTGTTTCCCCGAAAATAAGACAGTGTCTTATATTAATTTTTTCTCCCAAAGTTGCGCTAGGTCTTATTTTCAGGGGATGTCTTATCTTTCCATGCGCTAGGTCTTATTTTCGGAGGATGTCTTATTTTCAGGGAAACACGGGTAGTTACAGTCACCATAAAGAGAATAAATGGCTCCATAAGGTTCGGGAAAGTAGTGGCCTATCCCCCACAATATTAGCTGCCCAATTACCTTTATCCACCTGACTGAAAGGGTCATCCTGCTCACAGCTTGCTCTAAGGTAACATGACATCACCATCTTGACCAGAAGCAACTCATATGTTATAAATTGTTTCTAACATGAAGTTCTTTCTCACAGGACACCCTGTTTTGTAAAAATTTTCTCTCTTTCTTGTTTTTGCCATTTCTACGCTTGAAATTAGGGATCATGTTTGGTTTTTTAAATCATCTCCTGAAGACATGCTTAGAGAGAGGGAGAGGGGAACATCAATCAGCTGACTTCCATATGTGCCCTGACCAGGGATCAAACCCACAATCCAGGCATGTGCCCTGACCGGGAATCAAACCCACAACCTTGCGCTGCAGAGGACGACACTCAGCCAACTGAGCCACTCTGGCCAACCAGGATCATGTTTTACAAGCACTTCTGAGGGTGCACAAATTTGACCTCATGCAAATGATTCCATAAAGCGTGTAATAAAAGAATTTCCCATATGACTTCTCAAAACACTAGCACAAAGCAGTACCACACCAGCTACCACAAGAATATCGTTCCCTCTCCGTGTCCTATTTTTCCTACTGGTATGAGCTCTGCCAGCTTCTAACTCACAACTCTGAGAGAGTTAAGGTAAGGGGAAAGAAGTTACATCCAACTGCAACAGATACTGCCACAATTACCGTATTTTTCGGTCCATAAGACGCACTTTTTTCCCCCCAGAAGTGGGGGGGGGGGGGGAGTCCCTGCGTCTTATGGTCCAAATATAGCCTACACATACACTTTAAAAAAAAAAGTTTTTTTACTTGCCCGGCTCTGTGTGGTCTCTGTGTGCTTGCCCGGCTCTAAAATGGTTCTAAATGCTGCTGTTTACTTTACAGGGTTGATTACATGTGTTTATGACTGTGATGTCGGGTTTTAATGCACATAAAATATTTTAGGACACTATTTGTTTCAGAATCTTTTTTTCTTCATTTCCCTTCTCTAAAAACTGGTGCGTCTTATGGTCCAGAGCGTCTTATGGTCCGAAAAATACAGTACCTCCTTTCTCTTCCTCCACCCCTAAAAGTGACCAAAAGGTACCTGTCATAAGGACAGACAAGGAAGATTCCAGAACCCTTTAGACCCCCCTAATTTTGGGAGGTGTTTTCACTGAGCCTTCATTGGACCTCAGTGATATTTATGTACACACGTATGTCTGTATAACCAAGCATTCTGCAGGATCCTGCCATCTGAGTTCTCTAAAAGCTTCTGAATTCAGCAATTATACAAGCTACAGTGAGGCTATAGAACTTTCCCATCACCACCACATGGCCTGCGACATAATTCCCACATAATGGATGTACAGTAGAATAAACACTAATTTGATTTGTTGGTTTCAGAGTGCTTTTGTTTGTTTCCTTCACTCAGTAGCTTTTCTCAATATCTCTTCTTTTTTCAGGCTGTTTCAGATGCTGCCCAGTTGCTTGTGTCCTTTTGTTCTCTGGCTATAAAACTTTCTCTTTCTACCCATGAAAGTGGGATTGGTTTACTAGGAAGTTATTTCTTGGTCCAGGCTTAATCCAAGAAGCCATGTTTGCCATTGTTAGTGGCAATGTCTCTAGACCTCCTGAGTCCAACGCACTGCTTTACTTGTGTTTTCCATGCTTGTGTCACATGTGGAAAACGGGCCACCTGCCAGACTCTGAGCTGGTGTTTCGGTTGCTGGCTTTTTAAATATATATAGAGATGATTCTGTGCAGACTTACAAAAATATCAAATCATAAAGGACATGTTAGAAATTTGAGTTGATTAAGCTATATATTGCTTAAAGGAGGTACTACGTTCTTGTACATAAAGTTTTCAAATCTAAAACTATGTGAAAAAAAATTAAAACTGTATGACGCCAAATACCTGTGAAATCATTATGAAAAGGGCACTTGTGTATATTGATGGTGGCAATGTAAATTGCTATAACTTTTTCTGGAAAGCAATTTGGCAATGTCTTCCAAGAGTCATAAAATGTTCATACCCTTTAACCTAGTAATTCTACTTCTGGGAATCTTTCCTAAGGAAATCATCCAAAATCCTAAAAAATGCCATATGCCTGACAATGTTTATCCCAGTGTAATTTATACTATATAAAAAATGGAAACCACTCAAATTATGTAACATCAAGGCTTTAATAAATTACGGTCCATTTACTCAATGGAATATACATGAATATAAAGTGGTGTGTATTATAACTATCGTTTTTACTATCAGTTTCACCTCATGGTTGAAATCCTTTCCTATGAGATCAGCTGATGTTTTCCTTAGTTAATAAAACTAACAAGAGATGTTGTGCATAATCTTGATTACTAGCATTTTCACTTAATATTATGTCACTTAAATTTTTCTGAGATACTTTAGAGTATTTCATGTGTGAAATCAGATTAAGTGTA